TTTTTTTTTTTTTAAATAGGAGTTCTTAGATTCAACTCAGAAAATGTATGGTGCTGAACTGGCCAGTGTAGATTTTCAGAATGCCTATGAAGATGCAAGGAAAACCATAAACCAGTGGGTCAAAGGACAGACAGAAGGTAGGAGATACTGGGCAGAGTGGAATCTGGTGGGTGGCTCATTCCTTTCCTTTGTCCACTGTCCCTACCTTCATCTTATTCTCCCCACCTAGTCTCACTCATGCATGTTTGCAGTCAGGGGGTGCTCCCTGGATGTGAGGTCTGCCCTGCCCCGTGCTGGACAGCTGTCACTTGTTACAGAATCATCGGGTTGGAAACTAACAAACTAACTGAAGCAAATGAGTCCCTTTTCCTCCATAAGCTTCCCCAAACTATATTTAAAGTTAAAACTAACATTAGAAGTAGATTAAAATAAATAAAAGTCTTGAGGAAAATAATTGAACACACATAGGGAAAGAAATAGTATAGAATTTCATAGAGTATGTATTGGCATACATACATAGAGTATGTAGAAATCAGTTTTCCTAAACTGCCGTGGCCATAAATATTTCTTGCTAACATCTTGTCCAGTAAATGGGGCATGGTGGGTGGGGACTGACTCACTCTCAGGGCTCAGTGTTCACTGACTGCATCTCCTCCTCATAGGTGGTCCCTGGAGGAGTCATCACACCTCCAGAAGGCGGGGCTTCCACTGCAGGAATTGTTTCTGGCCTTGCTTGTGGGCCTTTGTTTCAGAGGAGTAATTGTCCTACCTTTTGGGTGTCTGTTAAAATCTTTTTTTGTGAGAGCAAGCGTCCCCTCCTCAGATTTAAAGAAATGATTCACTAGCAACTAAAAACATTTTTGTTACGTACTTCTTTTTCTGAAAAAGAATTTACAAAATAAGGCTCACTGTTTATCATTGACTCTAGAAAAGGGAAATTTTTCTGTCTTTAGTCGTTTTGCAATTTGACTTATTTATATTTTATTATTTTTTAAAATATTTATTTGGCTTATTTAAAGTATTAGTTCCTTGGGGGTAGTATGTGCATTGTCATAGTCTGTCTCACAAGTGGGTTTACCTGTAGAGACCTGCCCGTAGGGCTTTCTTAACTTAATATCATGTTAAATAAAAATTACATAGAAAGTATGCCTTTGAATTGCATTTCAGTGCTAATAAATTGTCTGTCTTACTTTATTTTTTAGGGAAAATTCCAGAACTGTTGGCTGAAGGTGTGGTTGATAGCATGACTAAACTTGTGTTAGTGAATGCCATCTATTTCAAGGGAAACTGGCAGAATCGATTCACGAAAAAAGCCACAGCCAATGCACCATTCAGATTGAATAAGGTGAGTACAGTAACTGTCCGAAATCACTCTTTGCTCTACAAGAATGTAGAGAATAATTTCAGTGATTTTTTTTAACTGTTCAGAAAGACACAAAAACAGTGAAAATGATGTATCAGGAGAAAGCATTTCCATTTGGCTACATCGAGGACCTTAAGACCCGTGTGCTCGAACTGCCTTACCAGGGCAAGGAGCTGAGCATGCTCATTCTGCTGCCCGAC